AAGTAAAATTGCTATTTTCCTACTTCATAGTGGATACTGCAAACATAATAGGTAGTGCTGATATAGCTCACCTGAGTTGTCTGACTGCTATGTAATTTAGCCGCTATGACTGTAAATATTAGCCTTGGATACCTCTCAGACGTTCGTAGCCTGAAAAATAATCTGGTGAATCTTGGGTACAGTTCTTGATCCTTACTCAAGTAAGCTGAAAGAGGACTATGAACTTTCACTCTACTTTAGTTCTTCTTAACACAGCTCAGAGAGTTTCCTTCTTGTATTCCTTTTTGGATCTACTACCTGCTGTGAAAGTTTTGTTATAAGAGTAGCTGCTTAATGTGAGGAGGGATAATACGCAATTGGAGTTGTTCTAAACAGAGGTAGAAGCTTGTTCCACTTTAGTGTGGTTATCATTGTTTATTTAATAATGTGTTTTATCAATGTAAATGTTAATGGTGAGATCAAAGGCAGTTATGCTTGCTATAACTTTAGAACACAAATCCATGAAACCAACTTCTAGTTACAAATACCAGCCTGAAAAAAACCTCACACTTGCTTCTTGGTGTGTGCTTGTCAACACACACATTCTGTACAATGTGATAAGACACTTGTAGCTAATGTGTGCGTGCAACCAAACAGATTAAAGGCATGTACTGAAGTTTTTAAAACAGTACAGACTAAACAATCAGGAATTTAAGGCATGTTAGAAACAGGGAGGGAAAATAATTGTGCTCATTTATTCAGTTTTAAAATGAAACAAAAATTATTACATAGCCTTCTAATTGACAGTCAGAAATTAGCCTTTTGAAACAGTAAGCATACAAAAAATAATGTTTAGGAATATGAGAAAAACACTCTTAAGTTTACTAAAAAGATAAGTAAGTACAGTAGATTGCCTCACTGTATTTGCATTTGTATAATGAAAGTTCCAGCAGGCAGCTGCTTACTTCATAACATCTTTAAAAACTTGATGTTGTTCCTCTGGTCTATAAGAATCTGGCCTTTATGTCTTTATCAGTGTCTATGTAATTCCCTTGCATGGGATGCAAGACTCTTTAATAGATGACAAAGCTGTCATGCAGTCCGAATTCCGGTTTAGCTAGTTACATGCACAGTCCAGCAGAGCTAAGATACCTTGCTGGGATCCTGCAACATGCTCCGCTTTCCATGCAATATGCTAAGCATTCTCACATCATAGAATCTTAGGTGTTCTAAAGAGCATTGCGGAAAACCAGCTCATTTTGTCCTGAAAGGTTGGCAGTTCCTATTTTGAGTCATAATTCTTAAAGTGAGTTCTAATATATACTAAAAACCTTGCAGTTCTGCTGTGTCTATTTATCTAGCCTAAAGAAATTCCTATGAAGTCCTAACACTGCTGCCAGATAAAAAGACAAAAAGAAAATTTAAATGAATGGCAGAAGTCAGAATCATTTTGCATTAAACACTGGCTCATGCTCTGTCCATTAAAATGCATTTGTTATTCTTTTTAAGATTTGTTTTTGCTAAGCTGCTGTTCAGGTTCCTAGTAATCCTCTACAGGTTGTTAAAATTGCCCTTTTCATCATGCATTTGATATGTAAACTGATTCTTCTTGTGTTAGGCTGTGAAAATGGTAGCTGCTGCTTCCCAGATGCTGAGACAGATAAGACATTTCATGACAGCTTAATGAAAAATGTTCTGTTCTATCTCCTGCGCTCCACACTTTTCTCTCCATATCAGCCTTTTTTCCCCTCAACAAAAGTGCAGCCAGGCCATGTGGCCTAACATCTTGTTCCCCTGCTGCTGACCCAGCCCAGACATGACATCAGTAACGGGGCAGGATATGTCAGCTTCCTCAAGGCAGAAGGGAGCATGATATAGGAGGAACTGAGCTGAAAAGTTCTCAGGGGGTGACAGAGGTGTATTACAAGTTGCATATTTTGAGCTAGCAGAATGGGATTTCTTGAAACAGACAGACAGATATTTGCTGCTTACATTTTTATCACTTACCAGCAGTTCATACCAAGTCAAGGACTTTAAACCAAGTTTGAGATTTTATGAAAGAGAGGGCAAAAGCAGGCCAATTGGGTAAGTCAAAGTAATTTAAAAAGGTCCAAAAGAAAGTGATTTGATCTCAGAAAAATGAGGCCAGCATCTAATACAAAATAAAGCAACCCACTTCCACAGAAAGAAGCAACCCATTTTCATAGACAGTCAAAAGCATGTGAAAGTGGTGTTATTTCAGTGCAGCTGATGTGCTTAAGAGCCATAGCCTTAATCTGTCTTTGATAACTTGCTGCTTTAGATATACCCATGGGCGCCTCAGGCTATGTGTAGCCTAAAAGCCATCAGTCAAGAATAAAAGGTGTAAAACTGGTATTATTACATGTTTGTTAGGGGGTTTTGTCCTGTGATGAGGGTTACACAAAATAGCATAAGGACAGCAATGCTCTTAAGTCCAGGCTTTTAACTGCTGTGCTTAGGGAGTTTTCAAAAGGCCAGAATGCCCTCAAGCTACTTTGGGGTGTCCAAGCAGCACAGTAAGAATAAATACCTGCTAGTACCCTTCTGTTCCATGCCACTAAAAGGGATGAGGTGGTGTCTCTTTCTGTCCTATTCATAGATGGGAGATGGCATGTTTTATGTTTTCTTCCCTTTGCTCCATATCTTTGCCACCTGCCATTTGTGAGTGTTCAGAGGTCAGAGATTCAACTGTTAAGATAGCCTGAAACTTATGTAAGGTAACACTGATTTTTAAAAACCAAAGCAAAAATAGAATGTTTTAGAAGACAGACAGAGGCATAATTAATATTAAAAGTTACATAGCTATTGAAAAAACACATCCCGAGTTGCAGTTCAGTCTGGTGCAAGAGGCTACAACAGTCATCAGAGATCTTTTTAATCATATCAATAATCACCCATTATACACAAAATAGCACAGTATACAGGGTCATTGGGTCATCAGAGATATTTGCTCTCTAGTTAAGGGAATATAATCAATTCAGAGTCCATCATCTATGTACCTATAGTTCTGTAAAGCAAATAGGTGACTACAAATTCACCTAATGTAGGTAAAAATTTAATGAAGGATTGATCATTGATCACTCAGCATATTTGATGTAAAAGCACCACCAAGTTAAGAAACCTTTGTCCATAGTTTTGTGGATATTAGAGTGGTATTTGACTTCATCAGTGGATAAAAAAGTATGACTTGTGTTCCATCTGAATGTTACTGTGGGCGAAAGGGTTTCAGGTACTTTTTTATTGTTTTGTCCTTTAGATATGTGTTAATATGCAAAATGATAGGAATAATTTCATTTCATTTAGAAGTTGAAAAGATTCGCCTGATGTGTAAGTTTAGCCAAAGCCCCAAACTTGTGTGAGTTTGAAATATATTTTGTACCTTACCATGCCAAAGCCTCTCAAGGCTTTTTCTAGATGATCTGCAATACACAGTAAATGAATAAAAACAAGCAAATCTTTGGCTTGAGAGGCAACTGCTGAAATACTCAGCAACAAAAACAAGCAGCAGAGACAGAATGTATGAAAGTGAAAGAATGAAACAAGGTCAATAAAGAGTACCTAAGGCACCTTGTTTAATAGTCAACTTTGCTACACTCCTTAAGACCTCCAGATAACATATAAAGCTGTAAATGCTAAGGAATGTGAAGATGAAACAACTGAGGAGGTTGAAGATGAAAGAGCAGAGGACAAAATACATTACTCTTATTCATAGTTAAAATTCCCACGATCAAAGGATGTGAAGAAATATATTCTTTTATGTGATAATGAAGTAAAGAGAAGAATCAGAGCTAGGGAAATGAATGAAAGGAGGAGCCAGTACCATTACTGTTGTAAGTTCATTTGATATTCATGATATTCATGAATTGCAAGTCAAAATGAAGTAGAAAAGAAGGCTGGAGACTGGGATATTTCCTCTATGGTCTAAGTGCATTTCTCAGTCTCAAGTACTATAGAGGGGGGAAATACCCCCTTAACTTAAAAAAAAAAAAGGAGAGTCCAATCTGTACTTGCTTTAGGAATATGCACTACACAGCAGGAACTACAAAACTGTCCTGGAAAAAAAACAATGCAAAGGAAAATTTTGAAGAGGCCTGGGAATTCTGTTTATTCTAAAATAAATAAATGAATTACCACCTTAGTTGAGAGTCATCAAATGCAGTATGTAGTGGACTGGTACTATAAGCTACATCTGATGACAAACTGGTTAAGTCTTGGTTTGGCCACTCCTCCCTGCAAATCAATACCAATTTTAAAAAAAAGGGGGGGGGAGGGGGCAGGGGAGAATTCCATTATTACTCTGGCTCAGTACAAGACGGTTTGTTAAAGTGAGTCAGCTCTATGGAGTTGGCTTCCTTTTCTTATACTGTAAAATAGAGCATATAATTAAAGCTCTCTTTGACATTACTGGCTTACTAAAAGTTTGATGATCTGGGTGTAAGATGTTCAGTCAGCTTCCAAATTTGTGTTCCCTCCCTACTGCTAGCCAGAGGTAAAATTATCCTCTAACATACTTTTCAAGAAAAAAAGCCAACAAACCTCTATCCATCACAGTCTCTGGCCTTATTTGAATACTACTAATTCATCTATACACACCTAAAAGTTTCAAAACACCATGAGAGATTGAAAGGAGAAATTGCTGAGAAATCTGTAGGTGTCCAAATGTGTGCAGCACAGTAGGAAGTTAGGTCAGCTGAATGCTTTAGGGGATATAAATACCTCTAAGGGGTTTTTTTTCCATAGAGTTTTTGGACTATCAAACTAAAGTCTGCAATAGCCAGAAGCCTGCTTACATTTTAATGCATATTAATTAAAAATTGTACAATGGTATTTAGTGTTTATGAAGATGATTGTTACGCCTTTGGCATTTTTAGGAAAGCACATCAAGCTTTAAAGTAGAGTATGACTACTGTCTTGCAGTACCTAAACTTTGTGCTCATGAAGTACAAAAATCCACAGAGATTTTCCTCATTGTCTGCTTTTACCTTGCATTCTCCCCTCAGGTATGGCCCATTTCCTGTTCCCTCGGAGCTACCTTTGGCTATATGGCTGGTCTGATTATTGCACCTCTGTGGATACACTGGAACCGGAAGCAGCTCACATACAAAAGCAGATAACGAGCAAAAAGAGACAAGGTATTTCTTTGTGCAGATTCCATACAGACTGTGCAAAAGTTGGGGTTTTTAAAGATATATATATAGATATATATATATAGTCAAAGCAGAAGGCTGTCCAAATTCAGTTAGAGTATTTCAGGCCAAGCATCTCCACTCAATAAAATCACACAGATGCCATTTCAGCGTGGTGCAGTTTTTGCTTCCTCTAGACTGTGTAACCCTGAGAGATTGTACCTTCCAGTCTGAATAAAATATTTGTAACAGATGTGGTGGCTTCTTATTACAAGTTCGTTGAGTTTGATTTTATTCCTCTGGATTTCACTATTTGTTGAAGGCAGATTCATAGGTTTGACTTTCAAACCTGGAACAAATTCACTATGTACTTAATGCATTGTACTTAAAATCAGTAGAATTTCACAGTAAGCCTGGCCATTGTCAAATGTCTCTCACGTGATCAAACAGCAGTTTATGCATCTTGAACCTATTCTCTTCTTCACTGTGTGTTTCTTTGGAGTTAGAATGGCTATAATAGCTTCATCAAAAACAGTCTTCAGTCCTTTCTGTGTTAAAGCTGAACACTCCACATAGCAGTAGGCTCCTATCTGTCAAGAAAATAAGTTAATTCAATAGCAGTATACCTCAGCTGTTCAATTCCATCTGGGCACTTCTGCTCCTCCCCACCCCCCCCCCACCCCCGCAGCATTACAATGTTTGCAATCTAAAAAAGTTATCTCCATGTGCACCCCCTTGTAGGAGAAAATAAGATTTGTCTTTTGTCCAAAGATCTGGAAGGTATTTAAGTTTGTTGGTTTCTGTGGGAAGCATAAGTTTAATCTTTAGATTGGCAGTGGAGGCCTAAGATATGGTTGATAATTGAAGAGCAAAAAATAATTACATGACCCATTTGTGTTTCAAAAATAAAGGCTCTGTAAGTGTCCCGATAAGCATTGTCTACACAGTAGTTACAATGGTAGTATAACATTCTCAAATAATGTCTAAAAGATGCTTCCAATATTTTGATTCCAACCTCAACCAGTCTGTGGATATTAATTATCTTTGACTAATATTTATATAGCTTGTATAGCTCTTACAAGTGTCTACACTGAAAATTAGAACTGTTACTGACAAGAAAGTGTAATTACATAGGTCTGCTTGTTACCTATATTCATTAATGTAAATAAGTATAAATAACTGGTAAGCAGTCACAAGATTTCACATGTGGACTGCTAAAAGATACACATAAAAGTTCTAAAGGAAGACAAAGTCAAGTAGAAATAGGAGTGTTCTGTTGTTGTTGTTCTTTGTTGCTTGGTTTCATTTAGGAGTATCCAGTTTACCTCTTTTGCTAACTTCTGTCCTTGCTCCACAGATACGGGCTTCTCTTTCATATCATTCAGTCTTGCCAGAGTTTTTGGGTCATCACGGAGATCAATCTAGCAAGAAAAATTGAAGTCATGCTGGAATACTTTCTCTAAACAAAAGTCCTCAGGCAATACGATACCCTCTTTTTAAAGGAGAATTATTCAATGGAATATTATCTCTGTAAAAATGGAGTCGTGTCATGATTCAGATCGTGGGCCCTTCCTGATTCAAAAGCCCTAAATTTAAGATGTGAATCTTCAATCCAGAAGGAAGAAACATCAATTCTGTAATTCAGCGCTTCAGTTAGATGTGATCATCTTAGAATACCAAATGCAGTGGCAGAAGGATTGACCCAAAGGTAACACCAACATGTGGGTCACTCCATAAATGAAGCACAGTCCACTACCCACAAGAAGCAAGAGGAAATTGTCTCACTTCTCCCCTTTTCCTTTGCTTCAGCAAATATTGCATGTGACTAATAGCTGTAGACCCAAGTAATTCCAGTAATGTGGTCATGAGCAGACAGTTTTATTCTGTAAGTCCCATGACTTTTTAGATAGTCACATGGGAGACATGCAGTCCATCTTGCCACCCTATTTACAATGGACATAAGTTTTTTTAACAAAACATAGATGTTCATTTGAGAACAACACATATCTATGTTTTTCTGCCACCTGTAAGGTTTATTCCTCCAAAGGCAGAAGGAGGTGCTGCTCAGGTCCTGTTGGGCCTGAACTTCCAGCCCAGAAAAAAAGGCACCATATAATGATCCTAATTGTGTAAATAAAGTAGAACAGAACCAAATATACCTGTGTTCCTACTAGTAAAAAGGGAACATTAGGTGCATATTCCTTCAACTCCGGTACCCACTCTTCCTTCACATTTTGAAATGAAGCAGGGTTTACCACTGAGAAGCAGATAAGGAAGACATCGGTCATAGGGTAAGATAAAGGTCTCAGACGATCATAGTCTTCCTAAGGAAGAAAAATTCTGTTATCTGAAATAATAAATTGTTGCCTGTATTTTAAGTTATATTCAGAAACTGTATTTGTATTTCATGAAGATTGTTGAGGCAAACTTTCTGAATGTTTAACACTATTCCAGGTTAGTTAGTGTCACTGTTAGAGCAAAATCTGCATATGAAGATAACTATATGTGAATATAAATATTTTGAAAAATGTGTTAATACTGATGGAAACTAGTTTCTCTATGAGAATATACAAAAGATTACCGTTCAAAAAGTATTCACTTAAGGAAAAAACCAAAAGGCTTATGATTCAAACATACTTGCAGATCAAAGATTAGTATTTTTAGAGAAATGAGCAGGTGTGACTGCTGTAAAATCATCCATACAAAGCTAGGCTTTTTGATTAAGGCTATTTGATGCACTCAAATGTTCTATTTTGGATCATACACAGAGGTGATATTTAAAACCCTCCTTAGAATTTTGCTTGTCTCTTAGAAACTTTACAGTCCTGTTTTTAGTGTTCAGGGCAGTAGGAAGGATCAGAAGGGGCCTCTTTTGTTAGACTGTGCTTCCTATTAGCAAACCCAGCAAAGGATCAGATGGAATAGAAATTCAGGATCAAGAACACTATCAGTGGAATATTAATGCCTTTGTTTGTTTGTTGGGAGTGTGGCAGAGGAGTTAGTGTGAAAAGATTATTTAGGATATTTAGAGTCTCAGCATTTAAAGCCAGCAGTCCTACTGCCAGGGCGTACAATACTGAGGCAAGACAAGTACCTAGGAGCAGTGCCCTTGTTGTAAGTCAGAGTTCTCTCTAGCAACAGAGAAAGTGGATTTTTGTCCTATGTTTTAGCTAACAGCTGGAGGTAAGATGCCCCAGCTTCTCTCTGCAAGGCTTCCTTTGGTCTTTCTCAGTGAACTAATGCCTTACCATTCCTACCATAGAATTTTGGTGGGTTTTGCAACATAGATAACTAAGACTGAGCCCCAGGCATTGCAGAGACACAGATAAATGCTGGATTTATACCTTCCACAGTAAGCACCAGTTTATTAGGGCTCCTGCAGCAGTTTCCATCTTCCCCATGTAAACTCCCCATCTTAATTGAATCTCACAAATATTGCAGTGATTTGTTTATTAAACATAGAGACAGAAATGTAATTCCAAGTCCATGTTTGAAATGAGCCAGAAAATTAAATTTTTGTTTCCTTGGCAACAGCCACATTACCAGATTATTAACCTCTTGTCACACCCTCAAAAACACCCTTCAGTGATTTGCTAGGTTTTAAACATTGTGACTAGAATTTCAGAAAAACTGAGAGGACTTCCTCAGAACAGTTTCTGCTTGGCTTATCTTTCCATTTGGAAGTCAGCAGCTGTGGGAAGAGAGCTGTTATTCTTATGAACTTTAAGAAAAACAAGCACAGGCAGAAATTCTGCAGTAGCAAGGAGGTGATTACTTGTCATTATTTGTCATACTCTTGTGCCATTTTGAGTATCCACTCTAGTTTTGTACACAGGCTTGTCAATTAGCTAGAGCATGCTTAATTGTTGGCATGGGTTCCAAATTTCACAACTACAGTAACTGAAACTACTTTGAAGCTACGATATTTGACAGGCTTTTTCCCTGCCAGTGTCAGGCTCTTGCCCTGACTTAGAAGAAAAAAGCAGTAAACCTGTCTTTTCCAAAGCTGTGGACATTCATCAGTCGAAAGCAGAAGTAACTTCAAAACATCAACACAGGAATTGAAACATTCAATTGCTTTTTTTAGGCATATACTTTTATGTTTCACTTCTACTACTGAATATAGCTAGATCCTGTTCAGGGTTGCACTCTGTCTTCTGTGGGTGGAGATTAAAATCCTAAAAGAAGCTTCCCAGCTACCAATTACTCTGTTCCCTGGAGTACAAAATCTGCGTGAAAGAACACACAGTGGATCCATCAGTTGCTCTCAAATTCAGCTCTAAATAATATATGGAGTATTAGTGAATAAGTTGTTGTTTTAAAAAAATCTAGTTAAAAGCTGTAATTTGTTCCTACCACAAAAGAGCTGCCATCCTTGTACTCTACATTTTCTAAAAAATCTCATATCTGAATTAGGATAACTAGAATACTGCCTGCACTAAATGCTGAAATGAAGAAAGCACTTCACTGTCACCAGAAATCACTGTTAGTCCATTAACCTTAAAATAGCTCTTTAGTTAATCCATTTCAAATTACAGATAGACCTTTTATTAATACCAAATATTAATCATTTTCTTTAAGCCAGTCTTAGGTGTGAACTCCTTTCCTGCTCCTGCATTTGTTTATGTGCCTTTTGATTTATACCCTGTCGTATTTGCACTGGGCAAGCTGCGGGTCCATCCAGTGTAATTAAGAAGTTAAATGGAAGGCAAGTACAATGTGATTGGATACATCATCTACCCTGACCAAAGACGTTTGTGGGATTTGCTACAGTGGCTTCACTGCATTAAAGCTTCCTTAAATTATCAGAGAATTTGGCTATACCCACCAGTCCTGCTGCTTCAAACATGTCAGTGGTATCAGGCTGTCCTTTAAATCTTATCTGTGCTCTGAACATCAGGTTTGCATTGATTCTAATAGCGGCTGTAGTTCTAACAAAGCCTCTCACCACATAACTGGACCAGTCCTGAGTCCTCCTGTGAGAAAACCCGCTTAAATTTTGGCAGCATCTAGTAGACCATCTATGCTTAAAGACTCCTGCCTCCCAATAGTTCCTTAGAAATAGCAATAAAGCCTGCAAAATTTCTCTGATGTATTGGGCCAACGTAACTCCTACAATTGGTAGAATAATCTGAAATACCAAATTAATTTAGATTTAATATTAGAGAAGCCTGGAAAATTCTTATTGCTTCAACTATAATTTATTTCCTGAATCTAATATAAGGGAAATAAATATGGTTTTTTCTAAAATTAAATGTGATGGAAAAATTGATTATACTAGCCAGTCAACATAAATTCCAATTTGAGGGCATGTACACACCACACTATACAGCAATTAGTCTAATTAGACAATCTGATTGGGGGAGGCACTGCATATATATTTAGGCTTTAAAAATATTTAAAGATATTAGTGGGAATATTTTAAGAAAGTGAATAAGATGGTCAAGAAAGCCTCTAAGGATTGAAATAGTATAAGTCTCAAAAACTCCAGGTTATAATAGTGAAACCACTCATTCTCCAACATACTCTAGAGTTTTTAAAAAAAAAATGTTTGCTGAAGCAGGTGAATACAGAAAATACAAGGGCTGTAAGAACTTCAGACAAAATCGGACACAAGAATGTTGACTTAATTAATGTTCTATGGAGCTGTGATCCCTCTAAAAGACATGACACTGCAGCAGGGCTATTCATAATTTCCCTAGTATCCCTGTGGAAAACTAGGACAGTTGCCAGTACACAACAGACATGAAAAAGGAGATGAGATGAGGGAGCTAAGGACTTGGCTTCTGAACTACAAATGAGGGGGGGGGGGGGTTTTTCAGACTTTTAAATTACTGTGTCTTCTTATGGTAGTTTGAAGGTGTGTCTAGCATTGCCTATATCTTGGTTCCTTAAAATCTAGCCTTTAGGTCTCCTTTTCCATGTTACAGTGCCTAATTAAACTGCCTGAGATTTTCTGCTGCCTGGTACTTGAATACTGTATTTTGGATGGTGAAGTGGATTTATTCTTAACATGTCCAAATCTGGCTATTTGCAACATTTACCTGTTCAGAAACAGAGGTTTTGAGAAACCTTTTTTATGCAGACTGAAGAATGGTTTGCAATTCCACAGCATTATAGTATTCTTAATTTCATGAGTTTGCTCAGACCAAAAGCAGAACACAGTGTCCCATTTCAAGTCATGCATTTGATTTTGAACTATTACTTTTTCCAAGTTCTATGGATATCATTTGAGACATAGTTATAACCACACTAACTGTATTCCAAATTCTGTCACTGACACAGTATGTAGTCCTGAGTAAATCATTATCCTCTCTCTGTTTGCATCTTCCCATCTGTAGGGGTTTGCTAGCTTAATAATGCATTAGTCTTTGCAAAGCACTTCAAAAGCCTTTGATGTACACTGCTTACATGTGGTGGGATATTAAAAAAAAAAATAGACAAAGTGGAGTATAATAATTTCTGGACAACCTTCTTGACCCAGAAGAAGCACTATTTCCTTATATTTATTAGAACACTGAAGTGTGAGGTGCAGACATACAGAAATTTTGTTGTACTAGAGACCTTGTAGTTCCCCCAGTTTATGGTATCACGCTCCCCCTGGCTCAAGCTGAAGTGATGGACACAGAGACAGAAGTCCTTGCCCCTCTGTCAGTAGTGTGAGACCACAGGCCTCCTGCGCTTCTGGAATGGTATTAAGGTCTCTCTGTCCACTTTGGGGAGATGGAAGGCAATTAGTCCTTTGCAGCCAATACCTTCCCACACCTTGACCAAGACTTTTGGGGAAGTACATGCCTCTTAGATCTGCCACTCCAAGTTGTGAAGATAATATTAACCTAGATCTGTCTGGTTTGTTTCCTTGCTAGTGTTTTTAAGAAAATAAGAGAAACCATATTCTGGCATGTCATTAACATTGATGCAGGGACCTAAGATGTGTCATGTTTTAATCCACGCTCAGTGTCTTGTTTTGACAGAACCAAAGTAATTAATTATTTTATGTATTTTACAGCTTAGGAATGAAATTTTAACAATGCATCTTCAGTTGTTATACTGACGTATCCTTGATAAACCTATTTTTTTTCCGAAAAGTATAAAGTGGATGGGTGGAAACAAAATAAAGCTTGCACCACTGGAAGAAAAACTGGAACTCAAAACCTCTGCATTTGTGATCTCTGTGTTAGCAACCATCTGTTGCTTTCACAGCTTACAACAGCAATCGTAAGAAGAGGTTCTCACTCCCAACCATCTGTTTTTAGAGGAGAAGCCAAAAATAGACATCAGGCAGAGTTGCTAAAGGAATCCAACCTTCATGCAGCAAAGGGTA